ACAGATACACCCCAAAACTCCTATCCTTTGCCCCAGACATCACACCCCCAAAACACAACTTTCCTATCCTTTGACCCACGCCCCACCCACACAAAACACAGATACACCTCCCCAAAACTCCTATCCTTTGCCCCAGACCCCCCAAAACACACTCTCCTATCTTTTGCCCCACAGATACACCCCCAAAACTCCTATCCTTTGCCCCAGACTCACACCCCCAAAACACACTTTCCTATCCTTTGACCCACCCACCCACACAAAACACAGATACACCTCCCCAAACTCCTATCCTTTGCCCCAGACCCCCCAAAACACACTCTCCTATCTTTTGTCCCACAGATACACCCCCAAAATACAGATACACCCCAAAACTCCTATCCTTTGCCCCAGACTCACAACCCCAAAACACACTCTCCTATGCTTTGACGCACAGATCCGCACACAAAACACACACACCCTCCTATCCCAGACACAGGCAGGATTATTCCCCGTCCTCCAAGGGACTAGCCCCTTTATTGCCCCCCTCCGCCTCCCACGTCAAGGTCGCCTACCCGCCACCTGCCCTGCCTCAGGTTCGCTCCCCTTCCCAGCCTCCGACACAAAAGAGGATTTGCACGAGCGCGCACCCGTCCCTGCCCAGCACGCTCGCTGGCTCCTTCGCCCAGGTCCTTCCCCACCCAGCCAGCCCTCTTCTGTCCGGGGGGCCTCTGGCTGTTTCCCCGCCCCGCAGCACGGAAGGGCCAGGAGGGCTAAGCAACGGACGCGGCGGCCCACCCTCGCTCCGCAACGCTTTCCGCCCCTCTAGCAACTCGCGGCCGGCTCCCGCATGCGCACACGGCGCTCGCCCCCCTCGGCAGATACGCCGGAGCCGCTTCCGCAGCCAATGGGACGGCCGGGCTCGGGGAAAGGGGGCGGGGCTTAGCCCATCTCTCCATCCGTCCGAGGCTTGTGCGCCTCTTCCATGTCACTGGGGCCACGTGGAGCTCTCTACTGACCCCTCCCCGCGGGGGTTGCTGGGATCCTCGCCTTTCTCAGGCCCTCGTCCGGCGCCAGAGAGGTTTCTTCCCCCACGCACCCACCCTTGCCATTCTCCGCGCACCCCTTCGTGCCTTGCATGCAGTGAGAAAAGAAGGATGCTACAGAGACACCCGGCCAGCTCCTGGAAATCAGAGGGTGCAGTAAGACGGATCCAAAAACAAAAACAAAATTAAAGTGTCCACAGAGAAGATGACTCATTGTTTTTGTATTGCAATGGGGTAGGTACTGTGTGAAATGTGCATTTGCACTGCACTGTTGTTTTTTCCAGGATGGGTGGATGGAGGAAAGAGACAGAAAACGGTTCTGTAGGTAGTGTGTCATTTTAGGTGCAGGGAAGCACAGGTTCAGAAAGGACGGATTAAACGTGATGTGAGAGATCTGTGGTTGCATTTTCTGGCTTTTTCTTCTCTGGGCTAGAAGCACCCTTGCTTAAGATCACGGCTCAGGCATTTGAGGGTAGGGGTGTCGCTAACCCTTCTACATGAAATATTATGAAATATCAGGGCAGTAATATAAAAAAAACCGTCGAAAATGTACAAAACCATCGTTAAGAGGACTGGTACTCAGTAAGATGTTAAACTGCAAAGGGCTTTGGGCATAAAATGTCTTCAAGAGATGTTCAAAAGTGAGGATGTCTGCTGAATATCTGCTGGTAGTATGTTTACAGCACCAGGACCAGCGACAACTAAACTGAGGCCAGTCCACGCCTCTGTAACATGTGGGGGGAATAACAGTCGTCCTCCTCCAGATGATCTCTGCGATTGAGCTGATCTATAAGACTCAGGCAGCCCCTAAAGGTTCTCCTGGACCCAAATGGTTCAGTGCACAAAGATACACAACTTATGGCCACTCCTGATCCTGATCTAAATCATTCTTCTAAACCTACATGTTGCACTAGAGGGGATACTATGCAGAGAGTTGGAAGGTAAAATAGTAATCTTATCCAGTTTGTCCTGTTTTATTGTACAGTATACTGTATCACTAGTTTCAGAGAAAACCTCACACTCTTACGTGCAAGATCTAGGCTTTGCAGCAACTACAAAGACCTTCTTCCTTGCCAAAAAAATTTTAGACAACAAGGTTGGACAAGCAAAGGGAAGCCTTATTGCTAATTTAGTCATGGATTTGTTTATAAATATTTATATACCACTGTATTATAAAAATATATCACAGCTGCTTACAATAATATAAAAAACATAAAACCAAACCAATAACATAATGGAAAGTTTAAAATAAGTTTAAAGCAAAAAGAAATTAAAAAACAAACATGAATAGACCATTGTGGGGGATGAGCTCTTAATTGCCTACATAGGCCTGGCAGCACAGAAAAGTTTTCAGCAAGCTTTCAAAAGCTGGCACAGAAGGCGACAGCTGATTATTCGAATTGCCAGTTGCTAAGCATCTACGGAACTTCCTGAAGTTCTAAACAGTCCCTGTTTTTCTATCAGGAGATCTAAGTTGGCAGTCCCACTCAATAATCTCTTAGGAAATCAGAGCACTGCAGGGTATGTGTTGCTTAAAGATTGAGCTGGTATAGGAAGCCTCCACCTCTAGCTCCAGCATATTGGGAAGAATATAGGAGTACTTTCTGGCAAGACATGTACCGTATTTTTCGCCCTATAGGACACACTTTCCCCCCTCCAAAAATGAAGGGGAAATCTGGGTGTGTCCTATGGGGCAAATGCAGGCTTTTGCTGAAGCTTGGAGAGTGAGAGGGGTCGGTGCACACCAACCCCTCTCGCTCTCCAGGCTTCAGGAAGACATCCACAGCCTAGGCAGCCCTGTGGGAGATCCGGCAGGGCTGTCTAGGCTATGGATAGCAGCCTGCTTCCCGGAGCGTCGGGCGCCCTGAAAGCAGAGCACCCGGCACTTCGGGAACACATCTGCAGCCTAGGCAGAGCGCCCCTCGCGCTGGGCAGACATCGGCCAGCCCCACAAGCTCAGGGGACAGCAGGGAGGCGCAGCGCCGCCATCCCGCTGTTCCTCGACTTGGTTCGGTTTCCCTGACCTGCTTTGGGGGGGGGGAAATAAAGGGGGGGATTTCCTTTATTTCCCTCCAAAAAAACTAGGTGTGTCCTATGGGACGGAGCGTCCTATGGGACGAAAAATACGGTAATCTAAGAAACAACGACCTTATCAAGATTGGCATGCTGGTTCTGGTTTGCCAAAACAACCCTCCCCAGTTTTGATCTTCCCATCACTTCCCATCATTCTTGGCCACTGTCTTTGCTGGCAGGGCTGATGGGAAATGCAGTCCAAAACATCTGGAGGGCACCAGCTTGGGAAAGGCTGTTCTGGAGACCTAGGCTGCATCCAAATTATAATTTCTATCACAAATCAGCTAGAAATCAAATGGTGCTTCGAACAAGGAGCACTTCCAGCACCTCTTCATGAGTTGGATGGCCAAGTACCTTCTTTTAAAGAGTTCATTTCTAGCCTATTTCACAACTTAGATGCATCATCTGTAATAATTATTTATTCCTGTCATATTAGATCTGTGTTTCCCAAACTGGACGATGCCACCCCCTGGGGGGTGTTAGAATGATCCAGGGGAGCAGTTAGTAGCCTCAGGTGCAATTGGGGGGCATTGAATAAAAATAAGAAGGCAGTAGAAGCATAAAGAAGAGAATTCCAAAAA